CGCGCTGTCTGGCGCACTGGGCGCTGGCCGGGGCACTGCTGCCGCTGTGTGCGGCAGCGCGGCCACAGTCGGCTCCGTGCCGACCGTCCGGCAATTCTACTCAACCGAACTGACTTTTACTAACAGGTTAAGACCTGAAATGACCATTAAGCTGAATTTAACATAAAACGGCTGAATTTAACTCGATGAACCGAACCTCCGGCCGTGGCGCGCTCGCTATATGCGATGCCTACGGCCTCGGTCATCTCTCGGCCAAATAGCCATTTTACTCGACAACTTCAGAACCTGGCTACATGATCAATATACTGAAATGAATTAAAACTTAATCACACGAGAGAATCTGATCAATACTGAAACAGCAAGCCTCGGCCCACGGCTACCCGAGGCTATGCGCGATAGGCGCGGGGGTGCCGGCTGGGGCCTTTTCATCGGCAAAACCTCACTTTTACACGACAACACTCACTTGACTGAACATGATTAACTGAATTAAGGCTAAATAAACGATAAATGCTCATGGCTTATGCTCAGCTTATGAACTCATGCCTCATGGCCGTCCGTAGCCACGTGCGATCGGCACTAGCTACGGCTTTGGCCAATTCACCGGCAATCCTCGCTTTTTCATCGACCAACTACACTTAACTGAACTTATTACTTTAAATATAAGCTGAAAAGAACATAATAACTCATGACTTGCCGGAAGAAAATAAAATTTGTTCGGCGATTATCTTTACTTAGGCATGATCGGATTTAGGCGTGATTTGACTCAAAATTCTTGCAATTTGTCCGAACACTTTACTATGAATTACCCTAATTATCAAGTCTATGATCTGAAGGGAAGTTTACCTTCCTGAACGCTCGACGGAAATCGGAATTAAAGCGTAACTTCTCCTCGCCGTGCGGTACCAAGCTTATGCCGTGCGTTTGCCGTGAAACTTAGGGAAAATTGATGGAGTTTATGGTTGCTGAAGGCTGAGAACGAAAGGTACTGAAGGCTGCTGAAGCTTACATGGGAAAAGTGAGCAAAATTTTTCCAAAGTGTATGCTTATATAGATGGCCGTGCGATTGTGGTGATGATGTGTAGTTGGCGTGGCCAACTCCAACTTATGCCACTTGCTTGGTTCTCCATAAGGCTTAAGATGACTAAGCATGTTCATTGCTTGACAAATTGCTCAAAATGATTGGTTAATAAACCTCTCCTCAACCTTAAGGAAGCTCACGGATTTGGTACTAAAATTGGGAAAATTTTCCTTAACTCCACGGCAATTAGGGTTCAATTAGGGCTCACATGTGATTAATCCAAATTAATCACACAATTGATGTTTAATTGTTAAATTAAACATAATACTTAATTACCAAAATTATTTCGGACGTAAACGGTACGCCGAAAATAAATTTCGGTAATCCGACTGAACTTAATTAATTCCGAAAATAATAAACGATAACGTTACTATATCGGAATTAAACGTAATTTATACTGATAATATCTCGGGATATTACAATCCTCCATCCTTACAAAATTTCCGTCCTCGGAAATTCAAAACTTAACTGAATACATGACTATTATACAAGAACTATGTACATAAGATAACAAAATATGTACATCAGAACTGGAAATCTGGAAAACGAGCGCTAATGTCCGACTCTTCCTCCCAGGTAGCTCCGTGGCGATCCCACTGAATGCGCACG